AATGTCTAGAGTCGATCTGCTGTGGTCCCATCTGTTCCAACGATCGTGTCTATTCCGTCGGGACTATTTCCTGGAACACTGCAAACGATAAAGTGCGCGAGTTATAGATTAGCGGGGTTGTTACTGGTAGTTACAGGCTAAAAAATGCATTTATGGCAGATGTTAATGGTTGGCTTGTGATTAAGGAGAAAAGGGAGACCTACCCGGAACCGCCGCTTTGCATTGAAAAGTTTCGAAACCGGAGTTGAGATACCCTATGAGATAGGCAGTAAAAGGGGGAATAATTGCACGGTACCTGACTGAAGAATTCATGGTTGAGGGCGTCCTTTGGTTTGATTCGATTCGCTGAGTCAACCACGAGCATCTTTCGAATCTGCGAAAAGTTGAAAGAAAGGTAGACATTAAGAATTCATTGCCGCCCGTCAAGAAAAGGCTTATATCGGAACTTCAACAGCCTAAAACATATTTCGGATTATTAAACAAGACATTGTGAAGTAAACGCAAGAGAGTAGGATTTTAGAGTGACAGAATTATCTGCAAGTCCTGCAGGCATCCAGTCGTTCAAACCTTCCTAGAGGAGCCCGCGACGGCTCTGACCCGGTAAATCTAACGTCAACAACGCGGATTACAGTTGTGTCTAACCAAACGATAGTTCGTCGGTGATGACAACTATTGCAGTGTCAGGAGAGTGGGATTGGGAGGGAACCGTTGTAATTTGCGCGAGGCAGACTTGTACAGATTGTATCCCCTCATCGTTCAATAGTCATCATTGTACATTGGTCAGACGATTGGAAATAGGCCTGTAAGCAGCTCTTGGTTGGACAGAAACCCCTCGTGTTGTCCACATCAAGGATATAAGCGGTCACTTTCTGGCTCTGGGATCAAGGAGACCATGGTATTCCACCAATCAGAAACATCTCACATTTATCATAGTGGGGAAAAGTCGCTTCGCTGAGCTTGATCTTGCGGCCAAGGCTAAGTCCGACCCGCCGGCGATAAGCTTAGGTGTAGTAGATGACCAAGCGTGGTGCCCAAGCCCCTTGTTTGCTGCATGCGTTCAGCAAATTTTAACAGACGAATTTTCCGCACAATTTAGTCACCGTCGATGTGGGGAGAGAGGGGAGGATATTGCATATTATCCAGCAGCCTTAAAGTCTCAAAAGGGACATTCTAAATTCATGCATCAGTGAGTATCTTTTAATACCAAAGTTTAAACTCTTTTCCATGATGTTTTTGAAAGGATACGGTACGAACTATAGCTTGTGCCGTCCAAAAGTTAGGCCAGTTATACGTTTTCTAAACTGTCTTTTATAAAAAAAAACATTGCCTAGTTGATCCTCTCTAATGAGCAGCTTTGATTTCACAGTATCAGAGGATTCGGTGAGCAGTAGGCCTCTAATCGTTAGGCAACTGAGTTCGCATTAAGTTTGAAAAGGTATTAGTCGCGGAATTTGTCCTACGCACAAGCAGACACACACATATACATACAAATTATTTACTCTAAGGACGTTTGTAAACAAGGCGTAAAAACAATGGCACCAAACAAGACTGATGGTGTGCGCACGTGCCTTAAATGACCGAAATGAACAAGCAAGTGCCGGTAGTATGTCCGCGACCGGGTCCCCACAGATGTAGCAGCCATGTTCGACGTCAACAGGGTTACAAACTGCAAACAGTTTAGTTGGTAAGACAAAAGATGAATGCATGTAGGTAGGCGCGTCCACTTACAACAAAAAATGGCCGGTGTCAGACTACAAAAAGGGCGGGGGAATCGGACCCAGAAGAGACAAAACTGCTGGTAGGGAGTGATAACGTGTTGGAATGCAAACAAGGGAAGTAATAAATAGGTCGCTACAACTGGCCTTTAAACCGACAAATGCGGTCGCAACCAAGTTTTCCGGACTACCCAGAACATACAGGAACCGATATTCTCCTCCGGTCAATTGTGTCATTACGCGGCGCAGCAACATTCAGTATGACCCTGACGCCTCTGTCCTTTCGCGTCGGGCGCAAACGCAAAGGTCTTTAAGCTACTCATTTAGCGGAACGGTTCAGTGGGTGCAACACCCCACAGCCGAGGTCATTGGATGTCACCTTCCTCTTTACTTCTATTACACAAGACCTGGCAGTGGAAATCATCAGCAATTCGTTCGAAAGCCAGTTCGAGGAGACGGGCAAAACCTTAAAGAGGAGACAGCTAGTACGACTTATACAATTCTATCTGACGACGTACTTTACCTTCGAGTGGGTTATAAAGACGCCAGTGAAATCGTAGCTGACAGGCGTCTCCAAAAACTAATTATATACGTTTTCGCAACCTGCAAGTGAAGGTTTTGGTGTCTATACGTCAACGG